TCATGAGAAGAGCGCAACCGTTCCGAAGTAGGATGGTCTTTCTTAAAAAGGACTACTAATATTGACTGTACGAAAAGAAATATCAGTGCACATTACTCGGTGTGTCATGCCAACACGGTCACCCCTGGGGACGAAACTCACTCATGAGAAACGATAAAATTTTTTCCTAAATCTGAAGTTGGTATGCGAGTGGATACATTCAATCCATCTATCAATTAAGCGTTGGCCTTTCTTTTCAATTCTGGAAGTTTCATTCACTACAACTAAATAAACGTCATACAATTTCTCGTTTCCCGAAAAGTTTGGTGACAATTGGTAGATTTATTGCTGGGCAACGTTTCACTCTTGACACAAAAGCTTCGTCAGACCATGTGACTAAGTTCCGAAATTGATCGAGATGTAAGGCGGAAGTAGAAGCCACCAGCTAAATCTCTGTTGGGTGTCGACCGAGGGATTGTGTGTTAGTGGGTCACCAAGTGTCAGGCCGACGAGGCAACCTGCATGGATTTGAGTCCAGCCTGGGGTCTTGTTCTTCTGGTTCGGTTCACGTGATGATTCTTCTTGAACGTCGTTTGCACTTTCCGTCCGTCTATGTGGATGAGCTAGTGCTATGATATTTGTGTAGCGAAGAGGGATTCTATGACCTTTGGTCGGGTTGGGATTTCCACTCCCCCTCCTCTACGTGCATTGACAACCACACGGTCACGTGTCAACTCGGTTTATCCAAGACTGCCTTTCATACACTTGCCAGTTCCACACCCTCACCTCTGTTCACGTGATGATGCTTGGTAATTTCCACCGCCTCGGGCATCAGATGCTATTACTGAGTGGTTTTACTGGATCTTTACACTGATTTTATGTTGTATCTGCTGGTTCCCCTATCTGTCGTACCTGACTCCTGACGCACTCCAGTGCCTAATGCTGGAAAAAACTCACAGAAGGGAACACAACAGCTGTATTCCGAACAAGTGCGAAAATACAGCGGTCTCAAGCTAGTTATTAGAGAGACCGTCTAACTTGGT